GCAAGCAAGTATGTAGGCAGGTAGGCAGCAATCAGGCAGGCAGACAGCAGTCAGGCAGGCAGAGCGATGTGGCACGAGAAAACAGCAGAAGTAATACTCAGTCGGTAACTTCGACACTACGGAGCACTTCGTATAAACATGATGCATTTGATAACCTTCTAACACGGCGAAATACGCACAACGAAGAAGATGCATGGAACTAGGAACGAAAATTTGTACGATCGACGAGAAAAAACTAGAAAACCTCGGAGGAACATCCACTGCACGGAGAACCACGAATCACCGAGCGACCGACGAACGAACGAACGAACGACCGATTAAAATGCATTTTAAACGTTGCAGATGAACGTACGTTTGGCGAGCTTGAACGTGTAACTATACGGCAATCGTCCCCAACTACGAGAAAGCATACACATTTCGATATGCACTCGATCACAGCACCATCCTTGAATCGTTTCGATTCGAACGCAACTATAAAAACAATCGTTCTCCCTTTTTCCCGTTGTTCTCCTCTTTGTTTATCCCAAATGAAGAATAAACACAATAAACGGAAAGAGAGGGAGAAGGGGGTGGGAGGTGGGGGGAGGAGGTGAACGCACAATGCACTTGGTATAATGTAATTTAACAGTATACGCGGATAATCGCGAGGGTGTACGGAAAGAGAGGCGAAACGAGAAATTATGTACGTTCACGCGTATGTATTCTCCGAAGAAAGAAGGATGGGAAAGAAGGATCGTGTGTTACGGATGTGTGAGTGTATGCATACGCGCATTCGCTCGCGTGTCATGTGTGTATTTCGTATGTATATATAGATGTGTGTGGCGTGTATGTATGCGCGTGTGTCGTGTGCGTGATCAGACGCGCGTATATACATAAGAAACGAAGAAAACATAGAAAAGAACGTAGAAATACGTTTCAACGATTTCCTCGGAACACCAATGTTTCTTTGTCATCACTGTGTAACCCCGAGCCTCTTGAAGCAGTCGAACACGATCGAAAACGTACTGGTTAGTTTTACGACACATTCGTCTTCTCCTTACCCGAACTACTCCGTGGGTATTCCTAAACGGCGGGCACGGTGATTAAAAAACACTCGCGTTTTACATTCGCGCCCCGACGAAGGGTAGTCGAAATCGTACGGTCAGTCCAACGTTTTCAGGGCCGCCAGGTTAACGTCACGAAATCCACCGACACAACCATAGATCCAAACGGTGGACGGACGGACGTAAGGACGGACGGCTGGCTGGCAGCAGGCAAAGCGGAATCACAGAGAGGTCCGGGGGAAGGGGTATTGAATGCGGCGGGGTGAGGGTAAAGTTTCTGGATACGGGGCAGGTGGGGTCATAAGGGACCGGGGACGTACGAGTTGGAGTGGGGTGAAAACGAACGAGAACGAGCGAGCAACCGAACCGACCGACAACGTAGCGTCGCGGGGGACGAGGGTCTACGCTAGCTCAGGACCGTTTTATCCTGGTTCCATTAGCGCCACTCTTCATTGCCCTCGACACATTTTTCTTTTTTTTCATCTTATTTCGACACGTATTATCGAATTGTTCGCATGCCACGGCTCATCTGGCTCAACTATACGCGTTTTTCGTATAGGCGAAAAGTACCAGTTCTTTGTACTAACGGCACAGTAAAAAGAGAAATACACGTATCTAGAAGTCTTGAAAGATCTCCGCGACTTAAAGGTGATAGCTTACGAACCAAATCCTAAACAGATGTTGCGAAAAATATTATATATTACTTTTAATGCGTGTGTTTGTTCATGGTATTAATTAGGTCGCGGAGTACAATAGAATAGGTGTAATTTTTTTAAGATTCATGTAGTTTCTTTGTAACCTTCGAATTTTTTTTATTCGTCTCATCGACATGCTGCTTAATTTTACTTTCACCTGAACTCTGTTAATTTTGACATGATGTTAGAAGGATAATTTTCTTTCAATTTATCTAATTGTACCATAAAATGCAGTTTAAAAATATTTCCAGTCAGAATGAATTACGACAAAGAGTATTACAATAGCTCACATATCGGTTCAAGCTTTTCACTTAAACATGGTTACAGATCACGGTAAATGCCGCATCTGTAATTGTATACCGTATTCACCGCAAATCATTCGATTTCGGGCTGAATTCGTTAACCGCTATTTTAAGTATTTATACAAATACCAAACATATATCCTCGTTTTATCGCTTATTTGCCGAGCAACCCATATGTTGCGCCGTGCAATGTGTAAAATCGTTAAACCTGCATTGGTCGAACTAGTTCCAACCTAAAAAGTGCTTAACATTCTCATTACGTGTTATGTGTTTCGAATTTACAGTTGTTTGCAGAATTGCATAAAATTTTATTGAATTGTTGTTTTGCGAATGTAGGTGGAAGGCGGAGTGAAACGGTGTGTACAGCACTGTATCAGGCACAAGCAAACTCGCTGCCTTGCGGCCGGGTAGAAGGGAAGAGAAGGGTTGGGTAGGGAACAGTACAGAAATGAAGAGAAGGGCAGGAGGGGTTGTGTATAGTACGGGTAGGGATGCGGCGGAGGAAGGTATATGGTTGATCCTGGCCGCGCACAAGCAAAAGTGCGAGTGAGACCGTGCAAGCATACACGCGAGAGAAAAAGAACGAGATATTGCAAGAGAGCTCGGCAACGATGCATTATTAGAATACTCATGGCAACGTCGCAAAAGGCTTCATGGACGCCAGGCAATCCACCAACACATGAGTGTACGGAGAACGGCAGACCAGAGAAGGAAAGAATCCCGTTTTACAGAGTTGGAGGAGATAGAAAGACGGGGAGGGGGCGAAATACACGAGAGATCTACCGAGTCTTAACAGGCTACGAAGTTTTCCACCAATCTCTCGGATTTTAGAAAAATGATTCGCAAATTCCAAAATACACATATTCATATTTATGCGTTTATAAATGATGTTGTCTGGTCGTTTAAAGCGTCACACGCGTTACAATATGCGACCAAATACACTTCTAGCGCACGTTGCTACTGTTACTCTACTTTCTAATAAGCAAACGCGAATTCATCTCCAATAATTGCTGAGAAATCTATAATTAGAAATTGGCAGATTTAAAATAAGTTAGAAGCTTTGTTAGCGAGAACGGAAATAACTTATTTGTATTTTTATTAAGTCGGAGAATGCATTGTAAGATATTTGGTCTCTGCAATTAAGAAAAACGCAATTTCAGTACTTATGTACGAATGAATTCGCAAATATTTCTGAATTAAAGTATTTGTGAAATAGATCCTATCATTTCTTGATTGTCGAGCCACATAGTCGTATCACGTGTTGCAGATTTTAACATTTTCTTCAAGAAGAGTAGAATATGTACTTGTAAAACCAGGACCAGTCACCAAGAATCCAGAGGCGTAGATTGCACATAAATTGGTTTCTATGTATACTATTCTTTGCTTACCAATATGGATAAACTAATTTAGTAAAAGTAATTATTCATACTCTTTCTATTTTTTCTTTTTATTTAAATAAACGCATCGTATTAATCTTTAAATATCGCTAATCGATACATTATACTTATAGTAAGAAGCAATAACAGAAGTGGAACTAGAAAACAATAACACTGATTACTCGATGGTGAAAGGGTGTGGCAGCGCCATTGAGTCGTTACTCGCAGGAATAGAGCAAGTAGTGGGATAATACGTGCGATTGCATGCATTTGTGTGCGTCCGCGTATCTATGTGGTTGTACGAGTATGCGAGAAAGACAGGAAAAATGAAAGACGGAGAAAGAATTAAAGTGTAAAAGAAATAGAGAGAAGAAGGAGTGAGACGAACAGAGAAAAAGAGAAACAGAAATGAAGAGAGAAAGACGGAGAAGGCGGTAGACGTGGCGGAAACTCGGAACGGTGGAGTGCGGATGGGGACAAGGATGAACCACCTTAAAGGGGATAGCATGAATCATAAGTAATCAATATTATACCTGCGACCGATATAGAAAAATTTTGGATGATACGTAAGTGTTAGAATGCTTCGTATTTTTGTTTCAGTATCCTGTGATTTACCTATAGTTATCTAACGAATAATATAACAGTGCATATTTTCATTATATAGAACATTTTAAATAAAGTTTTTTAATCAATCTTAAAGTTGAACATAATTATTAGAAGTTAAATATTCAAGTTTCTTCATACTCATAAACGTTTACAATTACCATAATTACTATGAAATATTTGATCACAAAATTTAATAAATTGCAAATATTTATGCATAAATATACAATAGAACAATCTGAAATAATACAAGTCAGAGATTAAGAAATTTACTTTCAATTTCAATACTATTTACTTGTATATTAATTTACATGATTCTTAATTTTTCTTTAAAAAAATGTAAATGGATATGATTAGTAACAATGTCTCAGGTATTATTAATAACTTAATTTTGTATACATCATTGATTATAAAATAAACTGCAATTATTATATTACTTCTGTACATGTATATAATTTTACATTCCTTTTTAATATTTAGAATTCTACTATAATTTATGTATTTAAATTTAAACATTTATTGCTTGATCAAATCGTAATGGTTGACTTGAGTCTAATAAACCAAATTTCCTGTATAATGCATTCAAAGCAGCTACATTTTTTGCTTCCTTAACAGTTTGTCCAAATCCTAAAAACATGATTTATTAGTTACTATACACAAGATATTCAAAAGCTTCAACATTTACCTGAACCTAAGAATTGTTTATTACAATAGACTGCAATTTGGTAAGCTGATAAAATAGTATTTTTTCCAGCTTGTCTAATAATTCTTGGTTCTATATGTGCATTGTTTTCCTTAGAAACTATATCGTTTAACATTTCAAATGGCTCTGATGGGCACCAAATTTCAGTCAAATCTTTACAAGCTAATCCCACTATTAGAAAATCTCGAACAAAGGCACTTGCATGATCAGTATCTGTACTTTCTGCTAGTGCTGCTACAAGTGCTAGAAATGTTTTAGCTAATGTTTCTTCTTTTACAGGATGTTCCTAAGTAAAACAGTTACAAATTGATAATTAATAAAATATAAATAAGTTTTTATATACTATATATTCTATATTTAAATAATTATATATTATTTATTGTAGTGATATATAATATACACACCTCACTTAGAATAAGATCCTTTGTTCCAATATGCGATGATGCTATAGCCAAAATTTCTTGAGACATAAGGTAATCATGAAATGCTCTGCAATTAATATAGTTATGTAAATTATATTAACTGAAAAAGCAAAGTATTCTTATACATACGTGATACCAGATTCAGGAACACACGGCAAAGATTTTTTCAAATAATTTCTCACAACCACCGAGGTTATTTCTCTTCCTATTTGAATTAAATCTTCGTTGTGTTGTATTTCAAGTTTGGGATCCTTTATATTCATTTCTCTTTGCTTTTGTTCTTCCGCAAAAACATATGATTTATGGGTTAATGCTTGATTTAATTTCTCGGTTATAAAATTCTCAAAAAGTCTCTGATTAAATGCATATAGTTCTGCATCTCTATTCCAATCAGTAAAAGTACTACGTATAGGTTCAGGTTGAGGAGGCAATTTCCTTTTCCTTCTGGTTATTTCCTTTAAAGTTGGAGAAACCCATCTTTTAATATATCTACAATCTAGATTGACAATTAATATTTTATATATATATATTTAAACACATTATGAAACACGATTATTTATATTCATTGAAAATTCTTACTTTCATAATTCACAGACTTTATATTTGTAAAAGTATTGAAGCACAGTCGTAACCTATTCATGACTTTATTTAATTGAAAAAAGGATATAAAATTTATTTCCAAATTATTGGTTTTTTAGTTCAGTAAAACATTACTTCACTTAATATTGTATCACATACAATAAGAACAAGTGATAATAATTCACACGAGAGAATAACCTGGAAAATTCACGTTATGCTTACAAGGAAACAAATGAATACGTAAATGTTAGTTACTGAATATACAATTGTTACCACTTGTAAACATTAAAGTTCCTAGATCACAAATAAAGGAATTTAATATATTTTAGGAGATAAATCAGAGGTATCTTACTTACTCCCCTCACGTTAGTAACTCAAAAACAGCGTTTCCCCATTATCTCTACCGAAGGAGCGTGAGACAGTGTATATATGTAAGTAGCTCTAAGTAGTTTAACGCGATAGATAAAAGGAGGTATGGAGAGGGTAACTCTCTGTAAGGAGAAAGTTACTATGGAGCTCGTGAGCTTCCAATTCGACACTCTTGGACAAAAATATTAATTCGCATCTTTTTTCTACAGTGTAAAAATATATAAATATATTTTTCAAATATAACACTTATAATAGTAGAGTTTCTACAGAGATCAATAGCGAAAACATATCTATGCGGTTCAATAACATAATTGCGAAAGTTTTTTGACATTTCTCTTAGAATCGTTATTATACTTTTGTTTAAGCTAGGTGGATATCGCATCTGCGCATTAATTGTTGGACAGTAGTCATAAGTGAAGATTTTTGTTACGTACGACAAATACGTATATAGCGTTCAATAACAATTGTTTGTTAAATCGCAATTTTATAATAGTCATTTGTGTAAGAAATTACATATCTGGCTTTTATTAATTTATCGTGATTGTAAATAAAATATTAATAATCAAACTTAATTCCTAATATTTTAGTGGTTGTTACTTATTAAATACAAATTAATAATCATATTTTCGTGTCATCTTTTATGCTGTTTTATACTTGAAAACGGAAATATTCATGAATTTAAATATAGTTTCATTACATTAGATATTGTTAAACAATGTACAAAGCAAGTCAAGAACCTGATATACCTGCAGCATTAGGTTTACTTACACATTTAACTAATGACGAACTTAAAGAATTATTAAATAATGACAACAAATTTGAAGATATCGTCAAAGACATAAAACAGGTAATTATGTATATTGTGCACATATATTTTTCTGTAATATCGTATATATGTATATATATTTATTTATGTAAGGTATTCCAAACTTAAATGGTTAAACTGTCATGGCTTAGTTTAGACATAAAAAGGAAAAAGCATTCTGTTACAGAATTATAAACAAATATCATATGTATAAAATAGATACTTACTCAGTTTTTAATAGAATATATAAAAGGTCGACTGTGTTTATTTCATGTGTCTAAATACATGTTATTTATCATATGCTGATACTTTTGTATTGTTAATAATTAGTTATAATAATAAATAATTATAGTAGATACAATAGATATAGTAAAAGGTACTATAATATTTGTTTATAACTATGTAACAGAGCATTTTCTAACAAATTTAACATTTTCTTTTGTTTTATATATAAATTAAGCCTTCACAGTTTGGACATTTAAGTTTTAATATGTATAACATATATTATAAATCTTATTTTTTAAATAGTTTAAAGATTTAGAAACAGAGAAGGAAATGTTAATGGCAAGTAACAGGTCTTTGGCAGAGTTCAATTTATCCAAACAACCAGAATTACAAGATAGTAAACAGACTTTAAAAGAGCTCAGTGAAAGAGGAAGTAGTTTATGTGCAAATGTGAAAGAGAAACTGGAAGAATTAAGTATGTTTTTATAAAATACGATATACATTTTATTAAACTTTCTTTTATTTAATATATTTGCATATTGTATTTTTAGAAGAAAAATCTGGCACAATGAGTGTTGATACTGCTTTAGATCTGTTGCAGACAGCTGCTGCTGAAATTGAAGAAGAATCAGAGGTATAATCCACATACTATTAACAATTATCAAAATTATAATATGTCTTTATATTTATAGCAAATAATATTATGTCTTTAATATATAGGCTATAGCAGAGAAATTCTTGGCTGGAAGCATGGAGGTAGATGAATTTTTAGAACAATTTCTTTCACGAAGAAAATTAATGCATCTGCGCAAAGTTAAAGTAGACAAGCTAAAAGAGTTAATACGAAAATCACATTCCTCTGGTGGTCCAAATTATCCAATTGCTAGTAATTTTCCTAGTATAGCACCTGCAATTCCTTATCCAACCGGACCTGTTTCTATGCCCATGCCTGTACCATCTGGTTTACCGCATTATAGGCAATATTAAATTTCTCAATTGAGATGCAGAAAATCTGTTATTCTTCAAACATGGATAATATTCATTGTAAAAAAAATATGTATTCTAAACAATCGAAATTTCTTGTAAGGTAAATAAGTTTACTCATATAATAATAAACAGGACAAAATGTTTAGAATTGAAACATTATAATAATAAAATTTTTTAACACGTTTATTTCGTACAATATATATTAGAAATTGTTGATCTAGTACTTTTGTCCAGTAATAAATTATTTTGAAAATTGTCATTTACTTTTAGAATACAAAATTTAGGAAAGAGAAGAATTAAAATAGAAGCATTGTTTCAATTGACACGTACCCCTGATTTATGAGTAATAAAGTATACTTTCTTTTATAGTTGAGATAAAATTATTTTTAATTACACTATTTTTGTACAATAATAATTCAATTGTAATGAAACACAATTTTAATATAACTACAATTTTACTATAACTATAATTTTATATCATTCATCATGTTGTGGTTTTCCAAAAAGAATAAATACAATAATTAGTGCACATACTGATACAATTACTGCACGTTTGTCAGTTTTAACTTTATGTTCTTCAGCTCCACCTGTATATTTTTCATATTTCAGATATTCTTTGAAATTAGCATTTCTTTTCATTTGCCTCTCAAATGCTATTCCGTAATGTTCTTTGGACCATTCATCAAAATCAAAAATTTTACCTGTTGATGGAGTACTATGATCACGTACAATTTTTGTATCCTGATATTTACGTATATTCAGATGCTTAGTTACAATAGTTCTGTCATATTGTTTGCGTAACTTATGGTTACCAAGTACCTCGTATGCATCAGAAACTTGTTGAAATATTTCTTTTGCTGTTTTGCTTTTATTTCTATCAGGATGATATTCTAATGTTAATTTGTAATATGCAGATTTTATTTCATTATGCGTAGCATTTGAAGATATCTTCAGAGTGTCATAATGAGTTTTAGATTCTGTAGAAAAATTCATTTTCATATTTATAATCAGTGTATATCGTTTTAATATTTTAATCATAATTCTTGTATTAAAACATGTTGGATATTGAATAAACATGATTATATTTACACATGAAAATATTATTTTTTCTCTAATAAAGATTATTGCATAATTACAATGCAAGCATATAATTGTTTTCCATATTTTCTATAATTTCATACACTCAAAAGGAGAAGTAATTGACATTCTGAAACGAAAGAAGCTAAGTTAGAGCAAAAAAGTTACTATGCTTAGGTAATTTATAACAGAATTATTCACTCATGTTGAAATATATAGGCACAGATTTTATTTATAAAACATTTGCACATATTCTATACCTTATATTAACTATATAATGATATTATCAAATAACCAAGTATATATCATTTCTAAAAAAATATTCTTATTTTTAAAGTAATTACGAATTGTAAGTTCACAAATACGATATAAATCAATAAAAAATAAATTACTACACAAATATATCATTTGTGAAAAAATATTTAATATTAATAATTTCAAAATGTTTATTATACTTTTTATTATATTTTAAATAACATGAGTTGTGTATATTTTTAAGTGTATTTTACACGTATGTAAATAAACTGTTATCACTGTCACCGTAATTTTGTTATTTACAATGTCACACGAGGTTCATTGCTTATATTCGGTTCTTTAACATTTTATGTTTGTATTTAGTATGTACGAATTATATTGCTACAATTAATATTTCTGTATAAAATTACCATATAATACTCATGCAAAGGTGAAACTTCTGTCAAAATCATAATGTGCTCATAAGAAATGAAACTTCTGTCAGAATCTCTTTGACGTTCTAACCTTTAGCTGAATTAGAAATAACTAAAGGTAAAAAAGGAAGGAGAAACCACGAGCGAGGAGTTCGTCTAAAAGCGCGGTAATATTTGAAACGTAATATTATAAAAAAAATATTTAAGAATGACTATTCTAATATAAATGACCATCCTTAAACATTTGGGAGGATTTTTATATTTATGTTATGTATAATGCAATAATATAAGCACAGACGTGTAGTATAAGTATCTACTTATATTAAACTTTCCTTTTAAATGAAAAATCAAATAAACGTTACATATTATACTGCTTAACTTACAAACGCTATCATTGGTAGATTACGATAGTTTAGATAGTTTCTTAATCGTTACTAACTAAAGAATGAAGTTCACCCTTTAAATTTTTTCTTACTGTTGCCAAACATCTTGTATAAATATACTAAAGCCAAATTCTTGCAACAGTTCAATAATCTTGTAACGAAATGACATCAGCGCCTCTTTGTGTCGCGATTTGTAAATACGCCAAAAGTGACTTCAAGTTTTGTTAAATGTGTGTTGTACCCTAATGTTTGTTGCTCTCTGTATTTAGAACTTTTAGAGAGGGAGTTAATGTATAAAATATCAGTTCGCATAAATAATGTGTTGATGTAAAATGTAATTTTTACATAATTATTTACCTGTTAAATAGCGCATGTGCAATTTTTTTTATTATGACAAATGGTTATATTTAATTAAGTAAATATATGTGTCGCCAAAAACTGTTAACAATGCCTGAACGAATTGAAATTGGTATATAAAACAATATCACGATTGTATCAGTTAAAGTTTGTATTACTAAATTATACTTTATATAATTTATATATTTAGGTATTATTCCTGATAATTTAAGACATGAAGAAACTATCGTTCAAATATCAGAAGTTTTGGACGATTTAAATTCTGCAGTTTCTTACATATTTGACTGTATTGATAAGAAACTGTATGAAAATAATCAAAGGTAATTTATCTTTATTTTTATTATTAATTGTTGTTTTATTAAAGACATTAATAATTTTCGACAGATTATTAAATGTAAGAAATAGGGCTACAAAACTTCAAGATCAATTGAAATACTTGCAAACAAATCTAAATTTAAAAGCTGTAAAAATGTATTCTGCAGCAAAATATCCAGCTAATCACACATATAAAGAATATGAAATGGCAATACCATGTAGATATAAAGATACTTTAGAGATACCAAAAGTTTATAAATGTTCTGTATCTATAAAAGAAGTGCCTGAAACATATTTGCCTTCCAATTGTAAAACAGAAGATGGTCAATATGTGGGAAATAATAATTTACAAGAGAAGTTACAATTTTATCACGTGAGATCTAAAACAAGCAAAGAAGCTTATGTGGATAATAATGAATCATCATTTCCTCTCCATTTATTTTCGATCAGTGCCCTTTTGTTTAATAGTATGGATAATCCTTATAAGATATCCATCAAACAGACTGGCCATAGAATGAATGAAAAGCAACAGATTGAAGATGCCCCTGATTCAATTATACAGCCATGGTTAACTTCAGAAATGGATTCATCTAGCAGCTATCTCTATACTCCAACTTTAGGCGAGGTAATAAATCGAACACTTATGTAGTATATATATATAAAGATAATACAAATATCAAATGAAATATATTTTTTTGTAGGTGCCTCAGATAAATGTACCCCTAACACTTCCAGATTTGCCAGGAATTGTCGATGATGAAAAATTTATTTTAGATCTTAATTCTCAAAGTCCCATTGCGCCATCTTCAGTAGTAACAACACCTACCGTACGACTTGATCTTCCAACTCCAACTGTAGATGAGAAAGATTTGAGTGTAAATCATGAACAGAATACTCCAAATTTACCAGCTTTCTCAGATAATGACTCTTTAAAACAGTCTACTCAAGATACAACAACATTGTCACCACCTTCTATGTCGTCATTTGTCTCTTCTGAAGCTTCTATTTCAGTTTCTTTAAATTCAGAAACAGTTCATCGTTCATCGTTGCCATCAATGATGCCTC